TGGGTTCCAGACCAGGGACTCTCTGAACCACAGTCATCTACTGCATTCCTTTGACTTCACCACCACTGCATTTCCCTGGGCCACTTCCCCACAGCCACAGCACCCTACTCAGTCTCAGCAGCCCATCTGGAGCTCCTTCTATACTCCATGGTCCCTACCTGCACTGCTCTGTCCAAGATGTTACAGGGCTGCAGGACACAGTCTTCTCTCCTCAAGCTCCCAGCAGAGACTAACTGACTTTGGCCCTGCAGCTCCTTTTATGTGAGCCCACTGGGCCCTGATTGACTGCTCCTTGCAGTCTCTCTCCTATTGGTTGCTTCCCGCACAGCCTCCCTAGGGCTCTATTAACCCCTTCCCTGCCAATGTGGGGTGAACATCCAATCACAAAATCTCCCTTTATCTATAATTGTATTATAATCTGTGAAAATGTAAATGGATCTAAGGCAGGTGGGGGAGGAAGTGCTGCTCTCCTCAGTGTATCGTGAGCAGTGGAACTAGATTCAGAGGGCCAACATTCCCTGGAGGCACTGTTATTGATGGGACAACAGGAGAAAAGGGAACACACAAAGTTAGGCTGGAAGCAGCTCAGCCACATGGACAGAGTTTAATAAAGTTTAATAGAGTTTAATAAAGTTTAATAGAGTTTAATAAAGTTTCACTTGTTCAACTCAACCCACATTCAGCTTCACCCTTTGTGAACAAAACATTTAGCATGTAGAGAACACAGGGTCTCCACAGCCATCACACAGACTGCAAACGCAGGAGGAGCAGGGCATGTAACTTGGCTGTGGGAACAGTTTGAGGGTTCACCCCTACCAATGGATCAGGCCCTTTCCTCTACAAGAAGTATTATGGGGTTAAGACATGCTCTGCAGGGATCCAAGCCAGTTTTCATTATGGGAGTTAATCAGTGGCCTCAGAAGAGGCAGCAGGCTGCCTCTAAGAATGGTGACTCTGTGCCTGGGAATGTGGGGGTTTCCGAGAATAAAGCACAGGGTGGGGTGGCTGTGGCAGAGCCTGTGTCCCAACAGGCTCTGGGTGTCTCTAGGGATGTTGGTTCTGGGGGGTTAGTGCACCCCTTTACAATCTGGGGGAGATGGCATTACTGGTTCTGTGGCTCCTGACTCAGTGGCCTCTTGGCTTGAGTCTGACTGCAAAATAGAGGCTGAGCCTGTTGCTATGGAATCCGTGACCTTCCTTGACTGAGGATTCTGGCTTGCTGGCAAAGCCCCAAAGCAAAAAAGGCCATTGAAGGAGGAGGCAGTTCCAGTTTCAGAGGGTGCTATGAAGTGGGCTAGTTTAGTCAGTGCAGTTGGGAAGCACGCTGTTGAGGGTGCTGCTGAGGGTGGTTCCTTGGTTGGGGTCATAGAGAATTCTCTGGTATTAGTTTTGCCCCCTCCCTCCAGTCTCTCTGAAGTTCCCCCCTTGAGGTCAGTAGTGACTCTGATGTGCGGATGACGAACTCACAGATTCTTTGGGTCCTGAACATCCTGAGGGGGGAAAATATCCTGGACACCATTGATAGGTTTCTGGCTGAGACAAAGGGGAAATTGATTTCCTGAACTTAATCTGTTTTTGTTGTCATGTAACTGCCTCTATGCTGTAGCATCCGTATATTACATTGGATCCTCCTCCACTCTTTTCAGAAAAAGATCAGAAGGTTCATTTGGACTTTTTCTTGGATGTCTGAGGCAGAATATTTTGTATCTTCCCATTGTGGAAGGGGTGGGGGTCTCATTGATCCTTTGACTAGAGTTGCTACTTTTCAGTTACTATCTTTGTAGCAGCTGTTGTTTGGGGATGAGTCTGTTCCTTGGAAGCCATTGGCCTTTGCTTTTCTTCAAAGGGTAGGGGGTTTGGGTTTTGATCAGGAACTTATTTTACTGGATCCTGGGTGCCTCAGTTTTGAGGTGTTACCTGGTTTTATTAAAGCCTTTTTAACACGTGGAGATCTTTTGAGCCGAGGCTGCAGGATAGATGGCTGGAGTTCCCAGGGTTGCTTGTTGAACCCACTGTTTATAATCCTGCCATGAGGATTCCTAGTCTTGTTTCTAGGAGTCTTTTCTTTTCCCTTATTGCAGCAGGTATAACAAAACTGGTTCATTTAATTGATTTTACTAATTTTACTTGGGTCTCAGCAGATATCTTGGCTGTCAAGTTTGGTTTTCATTCTGTTCACTGATATTGTCTTTTTGTTTTTAAATCAGAGGTGGAATCAGCTGTTCCTACGGGCAGTATTGCCAGTCTGGGCATTTGCCTCCTTCAGTGAGCCATTCCTGATTATACTTATGCTTCCGTTTTCTTGCCTGTTGTTCCTGCTGTGGACTGGGATGTTGACAAGTCTGGCAGCTTGCTTGCCTGGGAGGGGGTCTTCAGAATTTATTTTTCATAGCCTAGGCCATGTGTCATTGTATATGCTTTTGGTAAAGATTCATCATTTTCAAATGCTTGTTGATTATCCCAATATGGTATGGAGAAGACAGCTTTTGATGACGGACTCCATCCATTCAGCCTGGCGAACTGTATACAAGCCTCCGATTGCAAAGAGGATGGGTGATCTCCAAGGGAGAATTCTTCACAGGGCTTTTGCCACAAATGTGCTTATTCATCGGTTGACTGTGGAGGTGTCCGTGTCATGTCCTTTTTGTGACATGGAAGAGACTGGTTTTCATATGTTTCCTACCTGTCCCAGGTTACAGGCATTATTTGTTTTACTTCAGGGTATTTTTTTGGTTATTGTCTCAATATTTTCTCCTTGCTGTATTTATTTTTACTGTTAAGTATAAGTTCACAAATAGATCTGTGGTATGCCTGGCAAACTTTATTTTGGGTCAAGCGAAGAGGGCCATTTAAAAAAGTAAACAATGTAAATTATTTAGTACTGGGGTTGCCAAAGTTCTTTATTGGTATTTTTTAGATTTGTATTGGTTTTATACCTTCTTTTGGAGTTTAAATAAACAATTAGATAAGCAACTTATAAGCAATTTGGATCGATTTATTCAGTGGTAGACTATTGGAAATGCACTTTACTGTTGGGGTTGGGCAATTATTTTTGAATTTGTAATTTATTTTCTTGGTTTTACTGCGTTTCAGTACTGATTTAATTAAAAGTGTTTTTAAAGTAAAAAAGAACAGGATTACTTGTGGCACCTTAGAGACTAACAAATTTATTAGAGCATAAGCTTTCGTGGGCTACAGCCCACTTCTTCGGTTGCATATAGAATGGAACATATATTGAGGAGATATATATACACACATACAGAGAGCATGAACAGGTGAGAGTTGTCTTACCAACTCTGAGAGGCCAATTAAGTAAGAGGAAAAAAAAACTTTTGAAGTGATAATCAAGATAGCCCAGTACAGACAGTTTGATAAGAAGTGTGAGAATACTTACAAGGGGAGATAGATTCAATGTTTGTAATGGCTCAGCCAACTCCCACCTGTTCATGCTCTCTGTATGTGTGTATATATATCTCCTCAATATATGTTCCATTCTATATGCATCCGAAGAAGTGGGCTGTAGCCCACAAAAGCTTATGCTCTAATAAATTTGTTAGTCTCTAAGGTGCCACAAGTACTCCTGTTCTTTTTGCGGATACAGACTAACAGGGCTGCTACTCTGAAACCTGTCATTATTTAAAGTCAAATAATGACTCTCTGAGTCAGCCTGTCTCCCTAGGCAGCTGCTTACAAGTGATCCCTTTTTCTCCCCCTGAGAGAAGCTTTTTCAACGCTTTAGTGTTCTTTTGATCTCTAGCCTCCCAGCTTTGGCAACATAAAGCTTGCAACTTATGAGAGACCAGAGACGGGATTCTTGAAGCTAACAGCTTGACCCATTGTCTTTCAAGTGTGTGTTGGGATAGCCTTAGCTAGATCTCTTGCTGCTTTCCTGTTTGTTCTTCCCATGGTCCCCTTTTAAGTAAGATCAAAACAATCATACAAGAAATTCTAATAACCTCCATAGTAATACAGTAACTTTATCTCACTGATTGGGTCACTTACAGTAGTTTTACCTTTATTACATATCAGTACTCATACATTAATACATAGCAATTGCAAGCCTGTCACATCTCCCTCTTTCCAGAATGGACACAGCAGTACCCTACGGACATCCATGCATGCCCCAAATACCTCAAATTCAAGTACCAGTCTCCTCCCCATTGATCCCATGGGAGGGGTACATATGAACAGACTCCATGTGCACATATGTTCTTGTCACCCCAGTACATCTGATCATTTGGGGTACTCATGAGAGGCTTGCATCCCTGCAAAGCATGTCTTAACCCCACAATGCTTCTTGTAGAGGAATAGGTTTGATCCATTGGCAAGGGTGAACCCTCAAACTGTCCCCGCAGCCAAGTTACATGCCCTGCTCCACCTACATTTGCAGGCTGTGTGATGGCTGTGGAGTCCCTGTGTTCTCTACATGCCAAATATTTTGTTCACAAAGGGTGAAGCTGAATGTGGGTTAAGTTGAACTAGTGAAACTTTATTAAACCCTTTGTACTGCTCTGTCCATGTGGCTGAGCTGCTTCCAGCTTAACTTTTGTGTGTTCCCTTTTCTCCTGTTGTCCCATCAATAACAGTGCCTCCAGCCAGGGAATGTTGGCCACGGCCCCGGTGGCAACGAACTCAATGTAGTCACACTCCCCAGTCCCCAGTGTTCTAGAGCAGCCATGTCTGTGCAGAGCGCGTCACGAGATCCTGTAGCAGTACTCCGCAGCGCTGTCTAAATGAACCCTTTGATTGTAACAAGGGACTAATGGCCCCGTCGCCCCTTCTCACTCAGCCGGAGCCTCCAGTCAGTGCCTCTTTAGTGCCCGTGCTTGGTGCCGCCTAGCAGAGGAGCTGCGGGCAAGCGCGGGACCGGTCAGAGACTGACACGCTCCCCGACTGCCAGCAGCTCTCCTCCCTCCCGCTTCTCCAAGCGCTCCGGCTGCCTCAATCTCTGCCTCAAGCGACTGCAGCGGCACCGCGTCCGGGCGTGCGGACACGGCACCATGTGGCAGCCCCAGTATGTCACTGCCCAGCAGCGGGCCGGCTTCCGCCGATACCAGGTAACGCTGGCCGGAGAAGGAAATCCCACGTGTCCCTCCCGAGTTTGTCCCCCTCCTCCTTGGACTTCCTGGGGGAGGGAGGAAGCAAGTGACGGGGGTGCAGAAAATACATTGTTTAGCTTCCCCCCTCCCTACTCAAAGCTGCTGCAGCCCCTGGGTGTTTTATTGATTCCGAGGATGGCTGGGGATTGGGAACTCCGGGAGCCGAAAAGTTGCGAGGTGTTGGCTTCCGCGCGTGTATGTGGGTATCTGCGGTGTCTCTCCCCACCTGGTCCCCAGAAGTGAGACCCATGGCCGGGTTCTGGTCACGTTGAAGTCAGCAGTTTCAGGAGCCCCAGGGCATGAATGAGAAGTCAGTACCGGTGCTCAGCTGCCCGTCCTCATGCGGTGCTGCCTGCCTGACCCTGCAGGGGTGTGTGATGCACAAGGTTGGGGGTGGGACCGTGGGAACAATGTGCTTCTTTCTCCTAGCATGTTACTTGGCTCTTCACTCTATGATCTCTCTCCTCCCAGCTCCTTAAGGGGCTCTAGCTACCTGGTACTTTCATTTTACACCCTGGAGTGTGGGTTGGTTGGATTGTTTTTTTCGTACATCAAATACAATTATTACTTGAGGGTCATTACACAGTGTTTGGGTGTCAGCGTGCTGCTGGCAGAGGTCAGTGAGAAAAGACCAAACTAGGGAAGATTGGGTGTATATGAATGTGAGCCAAGTGGAATATCAGATTCCTTTTCAGGTTCTCCTAGTCTAGGCTCAAAGCTTGGCTTCTGGTTAAAGAAAAAAAAAAAACAAATGAATGCTTTTCCACACTGGAAAAAAATCAGACCTCTTTTGCTTACTTCAGTGATCATTTAGCTATTGCAAAGTTTTAAGGATCCCTTTACGATTTTGCGGATACAGACTAACACGGCTGCTACTCTGAAACTTTACGATTTTGGTTTTTTGAGTTTGAGAAAGTTGACAGGTGTTGGATAAAATTATTTTATGATGTCTGTGGGTGTAAATCAGTGTATTATATTTTTTATTTAAAATAAAATAGTGTCAGCAGAATTGTTGACTGAACTAACTGTGAAGGTCAGCAAGGGGGGTTGGAACTGGATACTAATGAGGAATTGAAATGGCCCCAGGTGAATATTATTATCAGGCTTTAAAACAAAAAATCAAAAACATGGGGGGGGGAAAAAGTATGGGTGGAACATAGTAGGAACGATTAAAACCAAACATTTTTGTGGAGTGGCTAGTGTAGAAGGCTGCATCATGTCAGCAGTGGTAAAGCATATTTACTGATAAAGGGAGAGACGAGATGTTGCCGGTGAGTGTATGGACCAATTATACAATTTCTGATCCAAGATGGGGACAAGAAGGTTGTTTTTCTTTGGCTATTGTGTGTGTTATTTTTTTAAAAATTGGCAGTTCATCTCTTTTGTGTGCGTGAGACTGATGTAAGAAGGCAAATCAAAAATTGGGTTGAATCCTGTGTTCCTTTGGTTGCCAGTTTGGGGGTCTGGAAGAAATTTTCTTGCTCTGGATATTAGCTAGAATCTTGATGTGTTTTCACTTTCTTCTGGAGTTCTGAGCAGGGATCAGGTGGGATAGTCACCACCAATTTCCTACTGTTGGTGGAACAAATGGGGTTCAATGGGAAATGACTGCCAAGAAGGAGTACGGCGGAAAGGGATCTGGGATCACAGTAGACCACAAGCTAAATATGAGTCAACAATGTAACACTGTTGCAAAAAAAGCGAACATCATTCTGGGATGTATAAGAGGAGTGTAGTAAGCAAGACATAAGAAGTAATTCTTCCTCTTTACTCCACGCTGATTAGGCTTCAACTGGAGTATTGTGTCCAGTTCTGGGTACCACATTTCAGGAAAGATGTGGACAACTTGGAGAAAGTCCAGAGAAGAGCCACCAAAATGATTAAAGATCTAGAAAATATGACCTATGAGGGAAGATTGAAAAGATTGGGTTTGTTTAGTCTGGAAAAGAGAAGACTGAAAGGGGACATGATAACAGTTTTCAAAACATAACAGGTTGTTACAAGGAGGAGGGAGAAAAATTGTTGTTCTTAACCTCTGAGGATAGGACAAGAAGCAATGGGCTTATATTGCAGCAAGGGAGGTTTAGGTTGGACATTAGGAAAAACTTCCTAACTGTCAGGGTGGTTAAGCACTGGAATAAATTGCTTAGGGAGGTTGTGGAATCTCCATCATTGGAGATTTTTAAGAGCAGATTAGACAAACACGAGTGCAGGGGACTGGACTAGATAACCTCTCAAGGTCCTTTCCAGTCCTATGATTCTATGATAACGTGTACCCTTTTCTGCCAATCTGCTTGCAGCCTCTATGAATCCTCCCTATGAATCCTGTTTCGATTATTGGTGGGTACAAGCACTCATAGGCCATCCAGAAAGTGAGCACAAATTAAAGTGGACAGCCAAAATTTGGTCCCTTATTTTTATTTTGCTCTTCCCCCACCAGAATATAATAATTCTAACAGTTATGCTAATGTTACCTTTGCTTCCCTATTCTTATCACTGTGGTCCCTTGCTTTCCCCAGGTAATTTACCAGTCTGAGTCAGCCTTTTGGTAATCCCTGTTGGGGTATCACACTGGACTAAATCTCCACAAGTCAGGAACTGTTGACCACTTTTCCACCTCTCACCAGAGATCAGAAGTTTTCTCCTTGTCTCCAGGAACAAACTGTAGTAAATTATCCCAAGAACAGTCGAATATCCCAAAGTTACAAAATTGAAAGATCAACAGGAAATCAAAGATAAATATTACAAAAAATATATGAAGGTCTAAGGCTCCCTAGTTTCCCCAGGTAGGTCTAAACCCTTTGAGTTACAAAAACAATATCAGAAAATATGGTGTTCACATTTCTAGAGGTCTATGTTTCTTTCAAGGGGTCAAGGTGCTGGTCTGATCCTCCAAACTTTAACATAGAAGAGTTTTAGCTCAGTGTGAATGAGTTTCTGCCTCCTGCATTAAGATGAATGTTTGTCATTTGTATCCTTCTGGCTGCCTGACATGGCTAGGTGTGACCTTGCCATTACCAAACCAAGAATGAAAGTAGCATCCTTCTATGTTAACAGGTTCACAATAAGGTTTGATCTTATCATACATGACCTCTCCGCCCTGGCCTACGTACTCCAATTTAATGCAGTAGTCAGTTTGCTTTCCATAGCCACCAGCTATCTTTTTTAACTACGGTACATTTTTTACCTGCTTAAGCTAAATTGAAATGACACTTTTATTCTCAGATTTGCACCAAATCAGTGACTTACCACTGAGTTAGTAATTTCCATGAAAGTTTACGATTAGACCAACCCTGACAGAGACTATATAAACTCAGTTCACATTTTCAAGGCTAGCTTCATGACTGCAAGGCCTAGAAACATAGCTAGAAGCATGGTCCCATGAAGTCAATGGGAGTTTTGCCATTGACTCCAGTAGAGCCAGGATTTCACACAATGGTTTTAAAATGAAAGTTTAGATTTCAAAGCACAAGAGGTTTTAGTGTATATTTTCCCATGTAACTATACAATTCTCAGGGCCCTGATACTACATTAAATATGATTTCTTAATGGACAGTATTCAATGCATCACAGATAGTGAATGTTAATTAGTGTGGTGCCTCTGTAGACAACATTGTTCTCCATTTGCCTTGAAATTCTATCTAATCTATCTATCAGCTCAGCCTGTTGTGGTTATTTTTGCACAGCATCTCAGAACCAGGTTAATTAAAACGTTGATCATCTTAAACAGTGGAGAAGCCTAAGATTATCAAACTCCCCAAAACTAACTTTTCAGTAAGAGAATTACTGCCACCTTTTAGAAACAAGACAGAGATTTAACCACCTACTGTTCTGGGAATGAAATCTTACAATTTTTTTTCACTTTACTTTGATGAATTATGCAATTAAAAGTCTAATTAGAACTCTGCTAGTGTATAATGTTCCAAATAAAATAGTAGAGTCAGTAACCTTAATTTCTATGAGGCTTTTTTAGATTATTTTTGTACAGATGTAGTAAATCAGTTGGTGAAATCCTGACCCCACTGAAGTCATTATATTTAAAGCAATATGCCAGAATTTGCACTGCATACTTATTCCTGCCCTAGTGATAATTGATGTAATGTAGTATGCAAGTAGCTGCATAATCATTAGTTTTCTTACAGACACCAAATCATATGAGAGAGCAACGTAACGAAATCATTTGGCATTAGGGTGACCAGATGTCCCGATTTTATAGGGACAGTCCCGATATTCGTGGCTTTTTCTTATGTAGCTGCCTATTACCGCCCACCCCCTGTCCCAATTTTTCACACTTTCTATCTGGTCACCCTATTTGGCATAGAAGTTGCAGCCAATGTCACTGATCACAGGACTTGTTCCTAATGGTGGCACTATTGTATATACCCTTGGGGAACTCAATAAGAGCAGTGTTCTATCAGTGAATTCACAGCAGATTCTTGTTTGCTGAATCATTTCTGAGGCAAATAATTTGGGTGTAAAAGAAGCTTTTTGTTTTGCTGGTTCTCATAAAAATGCAAACAGTGACAACCTATTTTGATTGTGTCCCTTTGTTTAGAGATATCATCTCTATATAAAATGTAGAGCTATATAGAGATAAAATAAATATATAAAATCTATAATAAAAAGTTTACCTGGAGTTTATTGGTAGGATAGACAAGAAATTTAATTACCACCAATTTGGTCTAGCATATGCTTGTACATGTTGGTTATTTCACATTTTTTTATTCAACTATGTTTTGATGGTAAAATAGTTTCAAAGCTATACATATGTGAAGCAGAAATGGATTATTTGTTAATATTTCTGTGGAAACTACTCACAGAGATTAGTGAAGAAAACTACTCACATGTGGTTTCTTGTACCTTCCTCTGAAATAGTACCTGCCCTTGTTGGACAGGATACTAAACTAGATGGACACGACTGTTCTGAGCCAATATGACAATTCCCATTTTCCTAAGAT